ATATGTTTATTTTTTTTATCTGACCTTTTTAGACAAGCTTAGAAATTGTTATATATTCCTTGTCTATGCCATAACCTGCAGTTTTTTAAAATGACAAAGTTAAGTTATTTTACGTTTTCATACTAGCTAATTATATATTAATAATTGGGATAATTTTAAATATATGCTGATATATTTTAATAATCAGATTAAATTTCTGATTCCATTCTTACTATTTATGGAGGGGGGGGAGGAGGAACAGCTCTTGTTTTCAAAAAGTTTTGCCTGTATTGTCTTCATAATTCATACAAGAATTCGGTATAGTCTTAGACTGAAAGGCAACAGCTTGCCTAATCACTTGAATCCATGAACTGGCAATTTTATGAAGCAATCATACCAGTTCTACCCAAAAGTGAAGTCCTATTGAATTCAGTGGAGCTTACTTCTAGAAAATTGGGTACTGTACAGGGTTACAGTTATAAAACATGTCAGATAAATATATGCTTAAGATAATCTGAGCAAAAAGCTGAGTTTTTGTTTTATAACACTGAATAGTGTTGCCTTTTCTGCCCTTTACAACATGACAATACCCAACAGTTTATAATCAATATTTTTAAAAATTTTCTGGTTTCAAGGAAGCGTTATCATATTTACTGCTGAAGGAATCATGGACATCTATCACCAATTACATGCTGAAGTTTCTTTGTATGCAATTTTTATTTGCTTTGCTGTATAAATCTAAAAAAACAGATGTAAAAAAGGAATAAGTACAAATGGGAAAAAAGGAAAAAAGAAAGCAACAAAAGCATACAGTATTACAACAGATAATGAATGTTCTATTATATTGGCATTATAAGATATTTCACTCTGAATGCACACTTGTGTATTGTTCTCTGCTTATGAACTGGTTCTTTATCAATATAATAGAAAGACTGATCAATATTATTCCATGTGGTAGATTTTTAATGTTGTGTCTAATAATTGAGCTATTTTCTTTATGTATTGTAACATACCCTTGCTGACATTCTAAAAATATTCTCTCTTAGATCTTAGTACTGATCTATGTAAACTGGAAACACATTTTAGTATGCCCAAAGTCTGTTTTGGTGGCAAATAACAAAGAAACAATAGCACTGTTCATAAATTATTTGCATAAACACCAATTCACTGGAAGCAGTATCTGTACCCCAAGATTATGCAGCATCTCTCAGGCCTTCATATTTTTTAAGCAACTTCTACTAGCAACTAGCCTTTTGTATCTTGGCAGAATCCTCAAATAATTTAAAACCCTGTTATACTGGGACATAATATTAATAGTACTGTCACAATAAACAAGCAGGATACAAAGAAATTTATATAAAATCAAGAAGTTTTTGATTTTTCCACATCTGTTGCAAAATATATCAATCATTTTGTTGATTAATGTTTTGGATGTCACTTTTGGAAGCAGAGAAGTGATAAAAGATGATATTACTAAGCTGAAAATCAACTAGATCTGGTATGAAATATTCTTTGCATTTAACTTGTAGATTTTTAATCAACACATTATGTCAGCTGATAAAGGGCAATAATTAGAGTTCAGAGCATGCATATAGGGACAATTTAACCTTTTTCTCCCCTCCTACACTTCTGAGGAAAATCTACTGAAGCTGGTATTTCCTTTGCGGAGAATTCCCGTACTGGCCCCAATAGCAAATTTAATACAAATACAATTAATAACTTTAAATAAGTGATTTTCCTAAGGATTTAATCAGGAAAGAATCTTTACTTTCCTCCCTATGCTTACTGTATGTGATCCCTATTAATTGTTAATTGTCCCTACATACACATCTCATTTATGTTTTTAAAAATCTACAGAGTAATATACATATTCAATGGAAAGTTTAAACAGAAAATTGAAAGAACATGCTACAGGCATTTCACCCCGATATTGTAATTAAGCTTTTCACTAGAAACAAAGACAGAATAAAAATTCTTATCCAGCATTTAAATTTCTAAATCAAGTTTTAAACATGCCACACTTTTAAGAGAATGCATTCATTTCTTTGTAGCAGGTATCATACACTCGTAAAAATGTAAAAATGCAACTTGTGCATAATATTTTTTTCAATTACTGTTCAGTTTTAGAATCCATGCCACAGCAATGGCAGAACTGAGCATCTCTTGGCTGATCTTTTAAAAAGAGGGAGGGGGACGGAGGGAGGGGGACGGACCAAATTAATACTGGATGAGAGACCACCAAGTAATCTGAGGGCTACAGAGATGACTGGGAAATTGAAAAAAATCTCCCGGAAGAAAGCAATAAGCCTTCTTTTATATATTGTTGCCAAGACAACATGGGTGTGTTGGTTCAGTCACAGGAGTCAAGCTTTACTTGATTTAACGTGGGTTTTTTTTAGAATTAATAGGCCTTACAGGAATTTCTAGCAATCCAAGCGCAGGGGGGGAAAAAAAACCCCACAATAATATGTAAATGACCAGGAAATAAATTATGAACAAAAACTTGGTATTTCAACAGATAAATTCAAGATACACTGTCTCCTGTTGATTACAATGTTATCTTACACTAAACAATTAAACTTTGTACTTTGAAAACGCATGGTACTTCTTTCTGAAAATTACAGCCCAGGATTGTTGTTATTTAATAAACAGAAAGTTTTAGGAACTTTATAAATACTAGTAACTTATAGTATTATATTTATGAAAAAACATCCATGCAAACACAAATAATGCCATACAAGTCTGGTAAAGAAATGGAAAAGGCAGCCTTGTGGCCAGATCTATCTTTTACTAAAAAAAAAAAAAAAACCCCAAGGGGAGGAGCAGAAATTAACAATCGCGTTTTAGCAATGTACGTAGTAAAAGTAGTGGTGTATGTACATTATATCCTATTCCAATTATGAAGAAAAATTCAGAACAGGGCCAAAAATACAATAAGGGCCAAAAGTAGCACAAGACTTCTGTCCAAATCAATCATGCTAAATCCTATACCTGTTAAATCATTAGAAAGTGGTGAGCAAATACAGGCAGCTGAGAGAATCTGGAATTCACTGAATAATCATAGCTCTTTGAACACATTCCATTAGTAAGTCACACTCTCAGCACCACACCTTTATTGTCAAAGTATTTGTGTATATTTATACAATCAGTTTGTGATGAGGAGTTTAATTAAACATCTAATCATATTTTCTCACAAATATAAATATCTATGTTACTTTTGAATTTAGTGACTTCTATCATGTGACTATTCTAAGAACTGCATTTGTTTTACAGTAATTCAAAATAGCCATTATCAACGTTTTCTCATCCACTGTCCTAAAGCAATGCTTTAGTTCTTCTTATATCAAAAGATGATCCCCCCCTTCCCTTAAATAAATAAAATAAGACAAACACTTTTTTAAAAAGAGAGCTAAAAAAATCCAGGGACAAACTGAAAGCAAAAGTCGGAAAAAATATAAACACTTGGGAAGATATAAAATACTTATGTAATATTAAGCACATTGCCTATTCAGATCATGCGTGCTTAACTAGTCTACTGAGACTGTGACATATGTCACACTGAACCATAATCCATTAAAAGTTAAATACGAATTCATTCATCTTTTCTTTTATAAGAGAGTTTATACCAGAGAGTAAAGAGCAATATTTACCTTCCAAATCAAACTGAATTTAAAAGTTGAATTTTTCCTGTGTTCCCAATGAATTCCGTATATTATACGCATGACCCTAAATCTGCTTTGTACCAAAAAAATATGCCACTCGGTATTGTAGAAATAGTTCTTGGTTTGGTGTATAAACTACATGCTTAGAAAAAAAAAGTTTGTCTTGTCAAAAAGAATACACATTAGAGTATCCCTATATTATACTTCCATATTTATAAATGTCATGACTTTATAACTAATACAGTATGTGTTAATGGTTGACAATGTTATCAAGTCACTATGTACTATATTTTTCTAAAAAAGTTTCTTAATACCACTCCCAGTGATCTTCCAATTACAACTGTTTCACATCAAGGTTAGGCAAGTACAACCCAAAAACCTATAGAGATTTTACCATTTTCTCCATGTTATTTCTGAAGATGATGATTTGGACAAGAAAATTATCACTAGAGATAAATGGTGCAACAAAATATGGTAGAGCTTGGAATAACTAAGAAGAAAGTGGGGACGCATTATTAAACTAAGTGATTAGAAAATATTTCTTACTGAAGATCAGGTTGGACGGGGAACAAAAATCTTAACATCTGTGTGCGTGCATGCATGCATATGTCCATGTTTGCCAATGGAAAGGAAGTGAATAAATAACGAGAGGTGAGCACAGACAGCAAAGAGGCATGGCCTTGTCTAGCGCGATTGTGCATGCAATTAAAGAGGAGATGGTAGCTTTGGAGTGCTACGAGGAGACTCTGGAGCAAGAGAGGGAGTGGGGAGAACACAGCTGAGTCTTCAGGCGCTCGCCAAGGTTTGCCTCGGCTCTAAATCCGCAGAGGAGCCGCTGGTGGAACTGCAGCTACTGCGCACAAGACTTTGTGGCTCTAATTCAGGGAAAGGTTGAAGGGAAAGTATGGAGGATGCGAAAAGAGGAATCGTATGATGGATAAAAAAGCCGCCACATACACAAGGCTAGAAAGGCGGAGGGCAGGAGGCACAAACTTTGCTCGCCCTGCCTTCCCAATTCACCTCCAAACTTTATTTATATAGACCTGGGGGGGGGGGGGGGAGAAAGAGAGAGAAAAACTGACCAGTTCCACCGGAAATAATCCTGAAAGATCCGAAGTATCCCCCTTCCCCATTCTTCCCTCGGTGCCTCTGACCACCACTCCATCCGTCTGTTTAGTCTCTCCCTGATTCCGGTTCTGTCAGGTTGCCAAAGCGGCGCCTCTCAAGCTCGCTCTACCCCCGAAGCCCCCAACCTCCGCCGCGGCCATTTCCATTTTCTTCCTCGTCGTCCTCGCCCTCTTCTCCCCGCCCTCCCGTGCCCCCCCCCGGCGAAAAGCCAACCGGGGCCCTCGCGCTTACCTCCCAAAATGAGGTTCAGAGCATTCCCGCCGGCCGCTTCCGCGACTACC